ACCTCCGCCTTCCAAGTGCTGGAGTCAAAGCTGTGCACCACCACTGCCCAGCTCTCCATACCCCATCTTTTCCTTGCATCCACAGATCAGCAGAGCCACCACCTCTCATCAAAGAAGCTTCTCTCAACAGCAGATGGAGAGCATCGCAGAAAAGCCACCACTGGCCACATTGCAGAGATCCTCAGATTGTGAGGCCCCAGACCCAGGAGCTACGTCTTCCTCACAGCTCCTGTGCCTGTGGTTCGGGGACAGCATGGAGGAGGGGACAGAGAGACTGTCAGATGGGCCAGGAAGTCTGCCCACCTAGAAGGGGCCACATAAACAAGATCAGGACGATGGCCATATCAGTGGGGATGTTAGCATAAAAGGGGAAGTCCCTGCAGGGTCCCACCCCTAAACAAGGAACTACAGGCAAACGATGGAGATGGAGAATTAGCCTCTCCCAAGAGTGCGCCTCCATATTGGTTGCCAGCCTCGAAACCATATACACATCGCCAACATAAATAGAGGCAGCAGGCTGTATTCATATATGTGTGCGCTCACATATGTATACAACAAAACTCTAATAATGGGAGGCTATCAACTTGAGAGGGTTTCCAGAGAGGCTGAGAGAAACTGGAGGGAAGAAAGGGATGTATTGCCATTACAATTTAAAACATGTTTTGTTTTAAATTAAGAGGCAAAACCAGAAAATAGTTATACAAGCCAGGCATTTAGTGATAACAAATCATGAAATAAATTCATTTTAAGACAACTCTCCAGGGGCTGGGAAGATGGCTCAGTGGGCAGGAGCTCCTGCTGCATAAGGATCTGAGTTCGAACCCTAGCACCCACAGAAAGAGTGTTGCCATCACACCTGTAACCCCAGCACTGTGGAGGTGGAGACAGGAGGATCACGGTGTTCATCGAGAGACTCAGCTGCAGAGAAACAGGTGGGGAGCAGTGGGGTAAGCCTCCGGCATCCTCTTCTGGGCTCAGAAGAGGTGCACAGGTGAACATGTGCCCAACACACACAACACACAAGCACATACGCACACAAGCACACACATACGCACACAAGCACACACATACAACACACAAGCATACACAAGCACGCACACACGCACACAACACAGAACCCGGTCGACGTCTTTCCCGGAGTACTTCTAAATGAAAGAAAAATCAATAGGGTCCCATCTTTTGGGGCCTAACCCGCCAACCTGGGTGATTTAGTTTTTGTGTTTGGGATAACGGGTGAGCCAAAACTTTTCAAAAAGCTATCTGAAATCAAAGGGCTTATTGAGGCATTTTAGATGTTACCCAGGAAAATGACCCTGGGACAAGACCCCACAGATCAGAGCGGAAGCGGCCGCTGAGCCCGGAGCTAGAGGTATTTTTATAGAGAAGTGGGGGACGTCGAGCCTGTGTGGCCTCTAGGTAGCTAAAACAAAGAAGGAAGAGCTTCGGGGAAGGAGCTCGGAGGAGGAGGGTTTCGAAGGAGTGCTGCTTCTGAGCTGCCGGGTAGAACTGTCTGGAAAGCTCAGACGCAAACAGGCCAGGTGGCCCTGGTGGCCAGCTGTGACAGGATCTAACCAAGTAGTGTACATTCAGAAAGGAGGGACCACCTTTTCTGGTTTTGTCTGATTAACCTCTCTCGCTCTTCTCCCTTTTACCCTTCAAACGTGGAATATTCCAGACTTTTGCTACTAACATGTCCTCTCCTTATTCTGCTCATAAGAACCTCCCACTGGGGCAGCAAAATGGCTCAGTGCGTAAAGGCCCTTGCCGCAAAAGCCCAATGACAGAGTTCCGTTCCTGGAACCCGCGCAAAGGTGGAAGGAGAGGACTTACTTTACAAAGTTTCCCGTGTTTTCGGGACATGCATGACCCTGCATATCACACACACACACACACATACCTTCAAACACACTGTATGTATGCACACAGCACACATGTATGCCTGTGTTGATGAAGCAGATCAGTCTCTCCTGGTCTCTCAGTACCTCATATCCCAGTGTGCAATCATAGGGCACCTACTACATACCACCCCTTGCTGCGGGTTTCCATCTACTCCCTGCTTTGACGCTCGGGTGAGGAGCTGGGGAGCTGGCACTGCGGATGAGAGTGGCGGCTACCAGACATGAGGCCCTGAGCTCCAAACGCCAGCACTCAGGGAAAAGGTCAGGCATGGCCACGTGTGCTCGTGACCTCAGCGCTGGGCAGGGGGTGGCTGGAGGGACAGGCGGATGGCGGGAGCTTGCTGGCCAGCCTAGCCCAACAGAAAAGGAACAGGCTCCAGGCTCAGTGAGAAGTCTTGTCCCAGGAATAGAGTGGAGAGTGATGGAGCAGCACAGCCCTCTGTATGTCCTCCTCTGCATGCCACGTGCATGCCTACACACACACACACACACACATGTGCACACACGTACAGACACACAGACATAATACACACAGACATACACACATACAGACACACACACACATGTGCACACACACAGACATAACACACAGACACACAGACATAATACACACACAGACATAACACACATACAGACACACACAGACATAATACACACACAGACACTCTCAGATACATACACACATACACACACAAATATACACACATACAAACACACGCAGACATACACATACAGACATAATATACATACACACAGATATAACACACACATACACATAATACACACACAGACATAATACACACACAGACATAACACACATGCAGACATAACACACACACAGACATACTCAGATACATACACACACAGAGACATACACATAGACACATACACACAGACATCCATACTCACAGACATGAACATACACAGACACACATAGACATACACACATACAGACACACGCACAGACGTACACATACAGAGACATACACAAAGACACACATAAACACACACATACACAGACAGGCATAGGCATATACACATACAGACACACAGATGCACACAGAGAGACATACACATACAGAGGTACACATAGACACACACAGACATACACACACACAGAAACATACACATGCAGAGACACAGACACACACACACACACACACACACATTCAGGATGGCTCTGGAGAAAGAACACTTCTGAAAGTTCTCCTCCGACAGCCGCCGGGCGAAGCGAGGCCGACACTCCTTCTCTGGGTGGCAGATGGTTTAGGATAAGCCAGCCCCGTGGCTCTCCAGCCTCACGCCCAGCTGAGCCGCCCTCACTGCCCTTCACACACCTGCTAAAGCAGCCTTACTTGTCCCTCCTCAGCCACCGGAGATCTAGCCAACCGCAGAACCTCACTTGGTCCATTCTGCGCCCTCAAGTCCTTGCCTGGTCCTTCCGCACAGGCTCACGCCTCTTGGTACCCGTGCTCCCAGCTCCCTCCTGCTCTCCTCCTTTCAGCCGACTGTCCCCTCTACCCACAGGCCACTCCACAAGCCAGGCACAGCCTGCCGGCCCCTCCGCGACCTCGGAGACCCTGAGAGCCAGGAGCGCGGGCAGCTCATCTTTTAACAGCGTGGAAAGCATCACCGGTGTTCCAGGCCCGGGGCCGTGAGCGCAGGGGCGGGCACACGAGCGTGTCGAGCTGCCGGAGGAGAGCCGGCCGGCAGCGGCAATTCCTCGGGTTGCCACTAGGTGGCAGCAGGTTCCCCTCCCCTCCCGTTGACCGCCTAGGGGAAAGCGACCATTTCCTTCTGGACCCTGGCACCCTGAACGGAATCCAAACGCTAAAATAAGCGTTCAGAACGCCCGGGCCCGATGCTTATTAGTGCGGCCAGGAAGATGAGAAGGCGAGGAGCAGGAGAAGGAACTAAAATCAGAGCACCGCTGAACCACAAAGCGCAGACCCCGCGGGCTCTGATCGTGAACTTGCTGGGTGACCTTGAACAAAATTCCTAACCTTTCTTTTCTTCATGTCTAAGAGCGGGCACTATGAGAGTGTTTACCCCGAAGGAAGGACTCTGGAGGGTGGGGGGCAGGCTCTGTGAACACAAATCCCTGTGTAAGGCCCCTATGTGGAAGACTGGCCGACTGGTTAGAGCCCTGGAGAGCTGGAGTGTTGCAGATCCAAAGCCAGCGTTGTTTTGGCCTATCTTCCATATCCTTACCTAGCCATGTATCACCCACCTCTCTTCATCTGATCATTATCTTCCTACCACCAAGTGAAGCCATTGGCTTCCAACAGCCCCAAATCTAGGAACGCCTCCAGCTGGCATTTGAAATCTTAGGGTTTCCCCGTAACACGCTTTACCTGCCGACCTCGCCAATGCATTTGCTAAGTGCCTTGATTCACTCTTTTAGTCTCGCAGCGTCTGGGAGGTAGAACGGGAGAACCAGGAGTTCAGAGCTAGCCTGGGCTACAGGAGACCCTGCGTAAAAACAAACAAACAAACCAACAAGGACACAGACGGGTCGCTGCCATAACCCCTCCACAGTGAAGAGTGTTCACGAGGACACACATGCAGGTGCTGCCCATCGCTGGTCCCCGACACGGTGAGTTCTGAGTGCAGGAGGGGAAGGCAGAGGGAAAGAGGCCAGATGTCCCAGGCTGGCCGGGACACGCTCGGAGGGCACTGCCTCCCCGACTCCACACACCTGCCCGAACCAGCAGTTCCAGGTCCTACTCACACCAGCGGGCCGCTGGGCAGAACTCACTTCATTGCGTGTTCCTGTGGACAGGGCCTTCCGGCTCCGCTCTGTCCCCAGCTCCCCAGCGCTATCAGGCGGCCATCTACCAGAGGACACCTAGTGGGAAGCTGGATGGGACCGAAAGGCCTCTCAGCATCTGGACATGTCCCTGTCTTCCTAGCTGTCTCCGCCCCAGATGTCTGTGAGCCTGGAATCTATAAACCAAGGCTCTAGAGATTGTAAAAACAGGAGGCTTTGGCATGCGAGAACTTTTATTGACATGTGTGTATGACATGAACCCCTGTTTTCAGCGCTGGTCGCTCTTGTTTGGCTCAGCGTAAACGGTCTCTTCTGGAGCAAGCCCTGTGTTTTGCACCCGTAAGTCTCTAATCTTGGCCCCAGAGCACTCACAGAGTAATTATGGGGTTCTACTGGTCTAGACCGTCTGCACCCCAAAGCAGAGACGTAAGGGGACTAAACCTGCACTGGAGCCTGGAAGGCAAAGGGGGGATTGCCCTCAAGGAAGCAGAGGAGTGAGCAAGCCCTGTGGAGAGGGCCTGGCTCATCCGGGTGAAGGGTCAGCAGGGAGTGGGGGAGCTATAGAGGGGGAGAGGGAAGGGGGCTGGTGCCCCAGGCCACACCTGTTGACTGGGACAAGCAGATCCTGTGTGCCTGCCAACCTTTCCAACAAGCCCCTGAGGGCCTTCAGGGAAGGAGAGGCCTGCGTGCAAACTGTATTTTTAGCTCCCTGTGCGTCTCCCGGCCCCTGAGGGGCACCTTCCTCGCTCTCAGCCTTGGTCACCGGCTCGGGCTCCGGAGGATATCTGGGGGACGGGTCGGCATAGTTTCGGTATGCCAGTGGCTGAGAAGGGCAGCCCCGGCCGTAGGTGGTGAGCTTGTGAGAGACCTGAAGAAAGCCCGGAGGCTCCCACACCCCATCAGGGTTTCCCGGGACCTACCAACGTCAGGTTTGTTGTGCATGTGTCCTGGCCCGTGACAGCCAGAGGGAGGTCTTGGCGGCCAGAGATGTGTCTGAGCTGGAGGTAGAAGAAATCAGGCAGAAGCCCTGCCCAGATTAAGGAGGAAAGAGGGAGGGGACCCAGGCTTCAGGAGTCAGAGCGCTCACCCCCCACACACACACCGTGTCATCAGTCCCTGGAGAGCCTGAAGGAGCCATCTCTTGACCTTGCAAAGAGAGGCTTGTTGGCCGCCCAAAGGCTGTCAGGTTCCCACGGCACCAGATGAGACTGGGCCCTTGAGTGAGGTGAAGTGCGCAGCTGCCTGGGCACCTCGATGCCCAACGGCCACGGACAGACCGAGCTCCTGGCTTGCTTTGTCCGGTGTGATGTTCAGAATCCTCAGAAGGGGTAGTCTGGACAGGAAAAAGCTAGATGAGCTTTTAGCAACCCCAACACAACTGTGTGTGAGATTTGACAGGCTCCCTGTGTCCCAGAAGCAAGCGGAGTCCAAGCCAGAGAGCGAGTGGCATGCAGGTGTCTTTTGGGTCGATAGAAAGCATTTGAACGTACAGCCCCGGGCAGTGCCCACCGACCCTAGAAGCATCAAGCAGGTATCAGGTGGTGATCTGTCAGAGGACATCCAGCGGGACACTGGACGGAACACACTAAAAAAACCTCTTTAGCACCTAGACAACACGCTCCTGTCATTCTAGATGAATCCACCCCTAGACGGCTATGATCCTGGCGTGGCGTCTAGAAACCAAGATTCTAGACAGGTAAAAGCAGAAGGCCATGTCACATGAGAACTTTCACCCTTGGGTCTTGAGACTAATGGGTTTTACTAGTCTCAAGGTTTTTATGCTTGGGGATGCTAAACGCTTTGGGATAGGCGGGGTGTTGGGCTGGCTGGGGAATTTAGCTTGTCCTCTGGGGGTCTAGCAAACCCACATGGGTACGTGTGCGACGAGGGCGTGCAGACGTCAGGCATTAGGGCGTCTTGCTCACCAGCTTCCTCGTGGAGGTTCTGCCACCTCCTAGCCTGGCCAGGCTGCAGCTGTCACAGGGAGACTAACCGGCACCAAACAGAGAGGTTGTTGGCTCCAGGTCTCCAAGGCAACCAAGAGGCAGGCTCTGTTGTGACGATGTGTAAGTATACCCGGTTGCCCATGCCGCCCCAAGAGCTTACGGTGAAGCTTTAAAAAAAAGTCCATCTACTTTGGAGCCACAGGTCTCCCCAAGCAGGCTGGCTCAGGGGACACCTGTCGAACTGGTGACAGCTCCTAGTGAAATGCCTTACCCCACTGAGGGACGGGTGAAGGTTTACTCTAGTTCCCATCAGACAACTCTGGGGAGCTGGAGACAGCAGAGCTGGAAGGTCTTGTCCACAGGGACACGCCATAAACTGTGAATTCTGCACGGGGTCCTGCTGGTGTAAGGACCAAGAGATTCTGGTTCTGGCAGGTGTGCAAAGGCAGCGAGCCAGTGCGCTCCCCAGCATGAGGCCTAGGTGGACTGGCCAGCTGGGGACAGTTGGCCTCTTTTCTTCTGCCTTCCCCGCCTGCACCCAGAACTCATTTTCTGTGATCAGATGTGGAGCGGGGGAGGGGGGCTGCAGAGGCTCAGCTCCTGTAAAACCGGCACTGACCAGGCCCTCGGTCCCTGGCTATGGGATGAGGGTAAACAAAGAGAAAGATGAATGATACATGAGCGTTTGCTCTGGAGCCCGAGTCGTCCTGCTTGGCTGGCTTGGGCCCTGATGGCCAGCAGCCTAGGCGTGAACGGGGGGGGGGGGGGGGGGGGGGGGTGATTCTTGCCTTTCAGCTCATCCACACTTGGCTGATGTTCCCAAAGGACGTACAGAGTCATGGTGGAGGCGGGGGCTCCCAGGAACTGGCCTCCTCCAGGGTGTGGGCATGAGTTTCACAGTTCTCCTGTTGCGTTTTCCCACTAGCCACAGCCCTGGCCGCAGTTTGAAGAGCAGTCTGACTGTCAGAGCAAACAGCCCCAGCTGTTCGGGTAGAGTCCTGTTATTGGCTGCCCTGAGTCAGGCGTCAGCCCTGTGGTTGGTGGCTGGCTTGAAGGGCTCAGTCACATGGTCTCACGGCGTCACTCCCCACTGACACCTGGCCAGGGCCCATTGGAGCAGTGGTCCTCAGCCTTCCTAATGCTGAAACCCTTTAGTACATTTCCTCATTATCATTTCTGTTGCTGCTTCCTAACTGTGATGCTGCTACTCACGAATCGTGATGTAAATTTCTGATACTCAGGATATCTGAGACTCGATCCTTGGGAGAGGGTCATTCAACCCCAAAGAGGGTTGCGACCCACAGGTTGAGAACCACTGCTCTGGAGAGTCATGAAGGTTGGTAGTCACCACTGACACCCCCAGAGCAGAGCCAGCCTAGGCAGACACATGCGGTCTGCTCTTCCTGAGCTAGGCTGTAAGTGGGATGGCGTGCCCCCTTCCTCAGTTGGCAATTGGATGGGACCTTGCCAGGGAGACACTTTTCAACCTGAAAAGCGCCTGGGTGTCGTCTTGCATGCCTTCAGTCCAAGCATTTGGAAGATGCGGGCAAATTGCTGTGAGTTTGAGGCCAGCCTGGGCTACAGAGCAAGTTTCAAGCCAGTCAGGGCTGCGTAGTGAGACCCTGTCTGAAACAAGACAAGGCAAAAACCAGAATGCCCTGCACAAACAGAAGTGTCCATGCAACCTCCATCGCTGCACGGGGCACCCTCCTCAGGGGTGCCACAGGATGTCCTTAATTCTGATGCTTGAGCATGTGACATCACGGCCATCATGCCATGTGCTCTCCGTGGCTGTTGACTAGATGGTAGGTTAAGTGATGGGTGGGTAGATGGAGGGAGGGTGCATGGAGGGATGAGGGATGACAGATGGGTGGATAGATAGATGGATGGATGATAGAAAATGGATAATCGATGGGTGGGACTTGGATGAAGGATGGAGAGTGGATGGTTGGATGCTAAATAATGGGTGAATTCTGGGCAGATAGGTGGGTAACGGATGAAGGGTGGGTGGATGGATGATGAATGGGTTGATTGAGGAGTAGCTGGAGATGGGGATAAGTGCACAGATGGAAGGATGGTAACAGCTGGCTGCTGGCTGGCCACTAAACAGCTGCAAGACAGGAAGCTGGACAGGCAGATGGACGCTCAGTCCAGCCTGTCTTTCTTGTAAAGCCAGACCTTTTATTCAACAGCGTTTCTTCAGCTCAAATTTGGTATAGACCCCTATGTGGACTTCAAAACACGGGCGAATAAAGCAGACTTCTGAACCCTCATAAAACCCAAAATAATATTTTAAATTTATTTTTACGTTTGCTTATTGTGTGAGGGCGTACTGAGGATGGAATTCTCAGCCATCAGACCTGGAGGCAAGTGTCTTTACCCACTGAACCATCTCCGGAGCCCCCAAATAAGATTTTCAAGAGCATAAACTGTGGGTCCAGTCTCACCAGAATCAAATGCCGGCTGTGTTATCCATCCTCGGGACCCTGTCAGTGCTCACCCTGAGGGCTCCTTGGGGGATTGCTAGAATTAGTCGAAAAGAAGAGGGCCTGCACCTGGCAGGGTCCGAGGGTGCTCGCAGTTACCACCCTGCTGGAAGCGCCATGTGATACAGCAAGGGCCGTGGTGGGACAGGAGGTCACACGCAAAGGGAAGGGGCTGAGGTTGCATGGGGCATGGCAGCCCAACCTTTCGGAGGGAGCAGGGGCCAGGCCCAGAGCGGGGCCTTCTTTAAGTCAGAGACTTGCCTGGGCTGTCCATCCACAGGTACAGACCCATGGAGGCTCCTTCCTACCACTCCCGGCTAGGCTTGGAGCATCAGAAAAGTACGAGGCGGTGGGGAGGGGCAAGGTACCTCAGTGGGTACGAGGGCTTGCCACCAAGGCTGGGGATCTGAGCAAGATCCCTGGGCACTTCTAAAAGGAAAGAATCCACTCCTGAAAGTTGTCTTCTGACCCCTGGGAACATGCTGTGGTACACACGCACGCACGCGTGCTCACACACACACACACACACATACACACACACACACACACATGCTCACACACACACACACACACACACACACACACACACAAAAGAAAAGCAATCAGAGAGTGAGAGGAGGAGACCTTCGGGGACCAGCAAGATGCCTGTGCCCAAGCTTAGAAACATGACAAGTGCCCTTGGGGCAGCAGACAGGGGGAGAATTGGGTTTCAACTGCTGGCAGTGGCCTCTGTGCCCTTTCTCCGGGCTTGTGCAAGTCCAGACAGTGGCCTGGCTGGCTCCCACTCCCCACCCCCTATTGCCCCAAGCTGTTCTAGCTCCCCACAATGGCACTTGCCCCAAAATAGCTGCCCATGTGCGGGCCAGAGAAAGGCAGAGATTAGACCCCTAGGGGGTTGAGGAGGGCGGCAGGAGGAGCGTGTGGCACCCAGTGATCCTGGCCAGACTAGCATCCGGGTGGGTATAAAAGCCCTTCAAGGACCAGGTGGCCCCAAACCGTAGCTGACAGCCGGCCCACACTCATTCTTTTTGTCCTCTTCAGAAGTCGCCATGGGGCTCAGTGATGGGGAATGGCAGCTGGTGCTGAATGTCTGGGGGAAGGTGGAGGCTGATCTTGCCGGCCATGGACAGGAAGTCCTCATCAGGTAAGAGGAAGAGACCTCCCCCCCTTCCCTTTACCTGTTCCTTAAGGATAACCAGCATATGGCTGCGAAATGGAAGCTGGCAGGGTAGACCAGTTGGCTGCAGTGATGAGGCTGGGTTGTGTTGCATTTGCTTCTAAGTGTTGGGGATTGGGCTGGGGAGAGGAAACAGGGGTCCATCCATCCCAGCTGAGGTCAGCAACCGAAGCAAACCTGAGCATCAGACAGCCCACCAGAAGAATCTTATCATGACAGACAGGATAATGAAGGCGGCGAGAGATCTTGTCTACTAGTGCGGACTGAAAGCTTGGATCATATGGTTGTCTTCTGCTGCAAGGCACTCCTAGACAGGCCCGGAAAATTGCAGATTCTGAGCCTGGGCAAGAGGAGAGGGCTGAGGCTTGCGCACAGGGCCTCCCTCCTCAGTGCCCATGCAGAGGCTGGGGATCTTCCCTGGGCTCCGGGCTCCGCGGGCTCAGAAGCCTGATGAGATATGTGTGAGCAGTAATTTTTGGCTCTGGGAGATGGTAGTCCTATGGCCATCGGCCCCTGCAATGTCCTTGAAACTGTAGTTCGGAAATGGATTCCTTGCTACTTCCAATCCAGGGTGAGTTTCCCACCTGATCTCAATGGTCTTGAGTACTCCCTTAGACTTGGTCTGTTTCTAACTCCTCTGCTTGGGGAGCAAGGTCATCCGAGGTCAGAGCCCTTCAGGCAGCCATACCGAAAGGAGGCTCGTCAGCTGCTGGAACACCTGGGTATCTCAGCTTTTCCCTGCCTGTCTTTCTCTCCCAAGATCCCTTTAGATGCTGGGCCTACAGGCCTGGCTAACTGGACTAATCCTCACCCCAAGTTGTTATCAATTCCTAGGCCACAGATTTTCTGTGTGACCTTGGACAAAATTATTTCCCCTCTTTAAGCCATATTTCTGCCTTGAACTATTTGCCACGGTCTCTGAGACCCCTTGAGTGCCCTGAGATTTGGAATCCTCCTTTGCTGTGGACAGCAGGTTGTTGGGGGCAGGGTTGGTAGAACAGAGTCTTGCAAGACTCCAAGGCTGCCAGGTCCTGGGCAGTGATTTAAGGCTTGAAGGAGACCCAGGGTATTGTGTCATCAGAGAGATAGTCTTCCCTTCCCAGGGGAGTAACCGAGGCCTGCCAGTTCCCACCCAGTTCCCACAAGGGCATGACACCCCACCATGTCTCAGGCTTGGGTCATGGGGCCACACCAGCTGCTCCTGCCCTCTCCTGTTGGGGGCACAGGGAGGTGGCCTCCCAAGGCGGCATGCCAACTCCTAAGGTATCGCTTGGGCCCTGGGCTCCTGGTCTGTCCCAGACACCAACCCCAGCCTTGCCTGCTGACCTCAGCAAGGTCATTCCTGCACATACCTTAGCAGAACTCTGAGGCCTGGGCTGGTAAGCACAGAGTTCTAGAACAAGGAGATCCAGCAGCGAGCAGAGCTGTGGGCTCCAAGTGAAAGGGGCTGTTCCCTCTGAGCCCTACCTCACCTCTTCCTCCCCAGCTATTTTCTGGTTCATTTGTACTTGCATTTTTTTTTAAGTTTTACTTATTTTATTTATTTATTATTATTATTTTGTGAGTGCTTTGCCTCCATTTATAGGGATGATGCATCATGTGCATGCAGTGCCCAAGAAGGCCAGCAGAGGGCACTATATCCCCTGGAACGGGAGTTACATATGGTTGGGAGCTGTCAGGTGGGTGCTGGGAATTGAACTCCCGTCCTATGGGAGAACAGCAAGTGCTCTTAACGTCTGAACCATCTCCCCGACCCCTATGATGATATTTTCGTTGGGGAAAGGATTTGGGAGTCAAGAAATGTTTGAGAATGACTAGAAGTGGCTGCAACTCTCCACACAATGAGAGAACTGACTCATAGAGCCGCAAACAGCCTGTGTCGGTGGGTGGCAGGCCACCCCTGAGGAAGACTCCTGCTGGTGACAATGGTGGTGGAGGTGGAGAGGAGAAGAAGGGAGTCTAACAGAGTGAGGCCCTGTGTTGGATCACTTTTAGGAACTCATGCATTATATCTAACCGAGACGTTTAGCAACTTGTCTCAAATCACGCAGCTAGCAAGAATGCGGATGGGATTCCAGCTGAAACTTCCTCACTGTAGGTGACCCTTCTGTCCACCAGCCGTGTGCTCCTAGGTGGGGGTCTAATTTTAGAGGCCAGCCTCCCTTCCCTGACCATCCTGACTGCCTGAATGCTGAGCCTGGCCACCTGGCAACAGGATGAAGAGGGGAACCCTGGGAAAACATCCTTGGTCTCTTCCACAGGGGCTGAGTTGGGTGTGTGGGCTATGGATCACTCCGGACACCCTATCTGTAAAAGTCAGGGTTCAGGGGGGCAAGGGGCTGGGTGGGGGTCTGTACTCCCCTGTGACGTGACCAAGCCTAATCCTATTCTGCCCAGTGCCAGGAGAGGGTGAGATTGGGGCGAGTCTTTTTAGGAGCTAAGGAATCAGTTTGGTTTACGTTCAGTGAGCCAAGACCCAGAAAGACTGAGTGACTGTTTCAGCCTCACACAGGACACTGGAGACTGAGCCAGGACCAGAATGTAGTGTCTGGAAAAGCCTCGAGTCTGTGTTCCTTCCCTCTTCTGGCCTCATCCAGCATGGTGACCTTGGGCTCACCTGTGGGTGTCAGGCCTCCTGTCTGTCAGCGGAACTCAAGGGTCATTGTCGCTAGATAATAATAGTCAGGAGCTCAGGGACCCTGGACAAGGTGCCAGAGACAAGCTGACAGTGACGCACGCAGCTCTGGATGGGCTCCCGGGCTGCCGCTATGACACAGCCATGACTGGGGAGAGGCCCGACCGATCTTCATGGCACCAGCTTGTGTGCGTGGATCTTCACACACGTGAAGAACACACTTGTATGTTTGTGCTCAGGTCCCTCTGAGAGCATGTGGGAGGGGGTGGGGCCGGGTTTGTATGCTATCATTTACAACGGGGATGCCATTGCGTGACAGTGACAGGGCCCACGTGGTCACCCCGGGGGTGAAGGGGAAGCCGCAGGGCCTAGCTAAACCCCTGCAGGACCCTCAGGCTTCCTGTGCCTCAGTGTCTATAGCTGTCTCATGGAGTCTGCCGCACCGGCCTCTCGCAGCGGCTGACCAGTGATGGCTGCGTTGGTTGTGGCTTGGAATCACAGAGCAAGAAGTGACTTGCGTGCGTTCCTGACTTCATGCAGTTGGAATGAGCTCCTGCAGTGGGCAGAGCTGATGGCTGACATGCTGTGAAGTTCTTGAGTGACGGGGAGGCCTGTCTGTGACGAATGACGTGGAAGAGGGGCACAGAAGGGCTGACCTGAGTGACTATACCAAGCACCCATCCACTGGGGAGGTGGCGCTGTCCCCACTGTGGAGCATTGTAACCCTTTTGTCCTGCACTGTAGGAGGACTGACAGGGATGGGGGGAGGGGTCAGGCAGAGAGGCAAGGCTCCCACGCTCCCTCTGCTGGCTGTGCCCTAGACCTCTCAGCTCCTCCTCTGTGACGTGATGGGATGACAGAATCTGCTTTGGGTGTAGCGTGGGCATCCTACTCCCCCGTGGGATTGTGGGACAGGGGCCATGGGGACCAGGTGCTTCCCACACGACTTTAGTGCACAGAGGAAAATGTATATTCTCATAGCAATGCTAAAAGGAAAACACAGAGTCTGGGGAGCCATGTTCACCCTAGTGAACAAATCAGGGTGGGACTCTAGCGGGGAGCAGCTGTGAATTCTCGTACTGTCCGGTGGCCCTGACACCTGCTGTGACTCAGGGCTGGCCATCACCCTCGATGGGATTTTATTTGCCCATGAGTGGATCAGGGATTGGCCTCACTTGGGGAGGCTGGTGGCTCTCATAGCCCTCATCATCCTCCCAGAGCAGGGCTCGGGCTGGCTGGATGAGGTCAGAGTTCACGAGGTGGCCAGGAGCAGCTGTGGTCTTCGGTGGGCCCGCTTGCCATCACCACTGGAAAATGGATAAGGTGGGATCTGAAGTCTGTGCCCGTGTAACAGGGTCTCACGGCAGCCACAGCCGGCCAGGAGGTCCAGAAGGTCATGTTTTGGTGTCTTCAGGCGGGAAGTGGTAGAGGCATTCCTGACAGAGACCTGGGGCTGAGGAAGGGGGGGTGGGGCAGCTTCTGAGTCATCCAGATCCTCTGGCTGCCCGGCTTCTCTGCACACCAGCCCTGCGGTCCTGCTGAGGATATTTCCATCTCAGAGTATGAATGTGACCCGAAAGGTAGGGGTGAGCCCAGCATTGAGCCGGACACACAGATGCTTAGCCATAGCACACCCCATTGTCCACTCTCCAGATAACAGAGAAAATGGGGTGAGGAGGCACTGCCCTTCTCAGTAACCAACAGAAGAAGAGGGTGAATTGTCCCACACGTACGGTGCCTGATGGGCACCCACTGGATGGGCTACCTCATTTAACCCCTTGGATCAGGTTGCGTCACCCCTGTTCCTTGCGGATGCGGAAGCAGAGAGAGGTGCGGTGAATCGGCCCAGGCCGCACAGCTGGGAAGAGATGCAGCTGGGGCCTGGTGGCCTCCACACTCTACCCATCTCACGCCATCCCTCCCTGCCCCCTAGGCTGTTCAAGACTCACCCCGAAACCCTGGAGAAGTTTGACAAGTTCAAGAACCTGAAGTCAGAAGATGAGATGAAGGGTTCAGACGACCTGAAGAAGCATGGCTGCACCGTGCTCACAGCCCTGGGTGGCATCCTGAAGAAGAAGGGGCAGCACGCTTCGGAGATCCAGCCCCTGGCCCAGTCACACGCCACCAAACACAAGATTCCCGTCAAGTACCTGGAGGTAGGCGGCCGTGGTCGGAGGACGAGCCTCCAGGGGCAGAGCTGCGATCCCCAGCTTAGCCTCTCTGTGCAGACTGGCCTGCTTTCTCCCCACGAGGCCCAGTTTCTCCTCTGCAACCTGCCCCAACCCTGTTCCCCTCGAGGGTGCTGAGGGCCCCCCCAGCTTCCTGTTCAGTGTCTGTCTCCAAATGCTGAGTGAGCGCTGCAGTGTGAAAATGTGCCTGACATGCCGCTTGCCTTCTCCCCAGAAGCAGGGGCCCTTGTTGTACCCACTGGACAGATGAGGAAACCGAGGCACAGATAGCTCATGCAAGTCACAGAGACAGGATTCCCCTTCCCCTCCCCAAGGGTTCTGTCAGAGAGCGGCCGGGGGGGCCCCAAGGGGACCTTCTGTTTCACTGATGCATGGCTGTCCTACTTCGTGAGGTGGAGAGAGGCCAGGAGCCCCCAGGGGGGTCCCCTCAGTCCTCCTTTTGCAGATGGAGTCATAAGGCAGGGCAGGGCCAGCTGCCCTCTCCCAGCTCCCTGAGGGTAGACTCCACACTCTTGGCTGTGTCTATGAACCATGAAGCACATTTCACAGGCACCCTCTGGACGCACCTGTGTCCTGCTCTCCTCTCCAATGTGTCACTAGACAGTGAAAAAGATTCAGACAGCAGCTGCACCCCCCACTGCTGAGGTAGCAGGGGTGTGTCCCACGGTCCCTGGGACCAACCTGCTACATGACCTCAACTTGGTCACTCAGAAGTCTCCTCAGTAAGGTGCCACCGCTAGGTATAGCAGCCAAGGCTGTGTGGGACCAAAGTTCAAGTCACCAGTGATAAGCGCTGTGACAGTTTTAGCGTGAGCCTTTGGGTCCTGGGCAGCCCCAATCTCCACCTGCCTGATCTCACCTGCTGCTGTTTCCTTGTCAGTACCTGTGACCTCAGGCTCAGTGTGAGCCTGAGTCAACAGTCATCCTCAGCCCTAAGTTCAGAGATGAGATGCGTGCTGGCAAAGCCTCCTCCCGGTGTCCTGACTGAGCACAGGTCCTGGGTGGGCTATCGGACCCTGAGCAGGGCATCTTGTCTGCAAGCTCCCGTGGACTGGCCGCTGGGAATGCACCCTGCAGTGGTGTGGGTACACAAGAAGTCAGGGGTGGGGGTTTCCAGAGAGCCCCCCTCCCCAGATTCAAGTGTCCCTTCCTGGCTGTGTGACTTCAGCACATAGCTAAAACCTATCTCTGCCTCAGTTTCCCCATCTACAAAGCAGGGATGGTGGTGGTGGGGTTCAAAGGAGTTGGTTCACAATGATGGCACAGAATGGCACCTGGGACATCCTAAGTGTGCGGGAAATGGTCCTAGAATAAAGAGAGGGGCAGTAGGCAGATGCCCTGTAACCTCTGTCCCCTTCTTGCAGTTTATCTCAGAAATCATCATCCAGGTCCTGCAGAGCAAGCATCCCGGGGACTTTGGAGCAGACGCTCAGGGCGCCATGAGCAAGGCCCTGGAGCTCTTCCGGAATGACATTGCCGCCAAGTACAAGGAGCTGGGCTTCCAGGGCTAAGTCACCCGCTCCCACTGCCCAGCCCACCCACTGGCACCCAGTGCCATGTAGCGAGTAGAGTACGCCATGCCCTAGGTTAGCAGAGAGCAAAAGAGGGGAGCATGGTGTGGCATCCAGTGACCCCACCCAGTCGCCTGGGGACAGGGCTCTGGGTGGCATCACCCAGGAACCCAGAGGTGCAGAGTGGCCTCTGCTTCCTCTGCTAGGTTGAGTCATGCTCAATTCTCCTGTCACCTAAGCCCCAACTCACTTCCTCCTGGAAGTTAGGAAAATCCCTCTTCCGCTGTCACATGTGACCCCAAATCTAACTCACTGACTACCCGACCCTGACCTTTGAATGAGGTCAAGGGTTGATTAGAGGAGTGGAGGGTGGAAAAGGGGTCAGCGAGCATCAGAAGATTCCCGCTGCTCAGCTTCTGACCCACCTTGTTTCAATAAAATACCCTGAAACTCCTTGTTGTCTCTGCCTGTTTTTTGTTTTTGTTTTTGTTTTTGTTTTTTAATCCCATCCAGCAGGAAACACCCACAGGCATCCCGGAAGAAATGAGAAAGGTGTGTTCTGGGATTGCAGGCAGGCAGAGAAGATGAAGGACAGGTCCCTTTCTGCAGTCTCCTCAGTGGCAGGCACGCCCTGGGCTGGGTCCAGGGACAGGAAGGAGAGGCCCCCACCTGAGCTCTGATCAGTGTCATGATGGTCGGAATACAGGCAGGTCAACTGACCTTGACGGTGTGGGCATCAGTGCCAGGTGCCCAGGGCAGGAGACAGTGATGAGATGTCGCTGTGGATCCAACAGCTGAGGCAATGTGAGAAGGTCACCCAGCCAGGAAGTAGCAGAGCTGAGACCCAAACAGTGGCCCGGAAGGCAACAGAGCCAGTGGTGGACAGTGGCAGCTGCTGACCTTCTGGCCAGTGAGAGGACAACAGGGAGACACTATCCAAACGTAGGATGGGAGAAGAAACCCGTGTCTCCCGGTGCAGACTGCGCTATGGAACCTCTGAGCCTCACCAAGGACCCACAGCGAGCCCGTTGCTGGGGCTGACACAGTCAGGGATCGGCTCAGCCACCAGCCCTCAGCAGCCGGCTAGACCGATAAGCAATACTGAAGAGTAGAGAAAGGAGATTCATTCAGTGTGGCCACACCTGGAGGAGGAGCAGAGAGGCTCGGTGACCCCACTCCACCCCCAAACCTGCCTTCAGGATCCTAACAGGTCTGGAGGCAGGTGTGTCTGAGCAGTCCTGGTGGAGGTGTGATCTGTGATAAGACAGAAGCAGCAAAAAGTTACCCTTGGCATCTCGGGGGCCAAGGTGTGCCTTAATGAGATCACACCATGGGACAGATCTAAGGCAAGAGGTTTATTAGGGGAGGGGGGAACGCTGAAAGACCAGTGAAAGCATGAGATGGAAATAGACAGGGAGACAGAGAGAACAAACAGGACAGAGACAGCATCCCTGGTAGCATGTGTCACCATGACGTAATGATGTAAGCTGAGCAGCTGAAGGGCCGGCTGTCAGGGCAGGCCTGATTTACAACGGTCCTGTCCACCATCTCCTTTCCTTTGTTCCACAAGGGAGTCTGGCAGCTGTCAGAAGAAGACATCCAAACTCCGTGACGCTGACCTCTGGCCTCCACCGTGGATGCATCTACGCATGCATGCCTACGCACACACCACGCGTGTGCCCGCACATTACTAAGGATGACTCATAATAGTAATGTCTTCGTTCCTGGGTGAGGCTGCGCCCTTTCCTTATAGAGATTCCACTGACTCGCAGACAACGGGCTCTTCCTGACATGGGATCCTCCTTAGGGGGCTATTAGCCATCCATCAGCATTCCCATCAGGGACACTCCTGGCTCCTGACCGTTAAATCAGCAGGAAGAAGTGCAGGCTGCAGAGGAATGCTATAGGCATTTGTCATTCTCCCTGCATTCATCCAGCAGATCGTGTCAGACCTGGAGGTAAAAATAGAAGCGACTTAAGCCAGTCCTGAGGTGCACACACAGGGCCAGTTGCTGCTGCTTTTGTCACGCCAGCTAGCTCGGCTGCTCAGGTCAGGGGCAGAAGCTTCACTTCAGTTTATTTAAGGCTTCTCTCCAGCCCCAGCCAAGCTTTGGTGAATTCCACCCGCCGAGAAGTAGCCTGTGAGCAGGGAGGTAGCAGTGTGATCTGTTCCTGCGATTGTCCTTGGGGCCACTGTACCCCCAGCTGCTCATGAAGGCCCCTCCTGGAGATGAGGCGTAGGTTCCCTTCGTACCCAGACATCACAGACCCCACAGTCTCACCGTCTCCTCCAGGCCCCAGTCAGGCCGATGAAGGTTCACCTGGTATGGCTGTACACATCATGTACTTTACCCAGCGCCTGACCGGGGCAGCTTCTGAGGTTTGGGCCTCTGCTCCATGAGCCAAGCTGAAAATGTGCTTTCTTCATCCACTTGTGGGGCTCCGTGATCTGAAGATGATCCCGAACAGAACCCTTTTCTCTGAGACCCGCCGCCACCTTCATCTCGGTTCTCTTCCCCTCCGCATGGGGGTGTTTTCAGAGAGAGGTTTCCCACCCCGAGTGGCAGGGAGTCCTGAGTTCTTCCAGCCTTTGTCCTGCCTGCAGTCTTTCTAAGCGTCCCATCTGCACATCCAGAAAAAGACATGGGTCACTTCTTGTTTGTTTTCAGCATCCATGGCCTTCCCAAGGGCTCGGGCACAGGAATCTTAGAGTCTGAAAAGGCGTGGGCCAAAGAAACAAAGGCAGTTCCTGAGGGAAGCACCCACTAGTGTCCAAAACATCCCACCTCTCAGGGCAGATCACCCCTATTTCAGCATCCTGAGTACTGGGATTAAACGTGTCTGCCACCACATCCAGCTGTTTTGTTTTGTTTTGTTTTGTTTTAATCCAGAATTATTACGGCACTGAGAGTAGGATGAACTTGTGGCGCAAATGCAGCCACACTTCCAGAAACAAAAGTTGTGGTTGTTGGCATCTCTTGCAGGACAGTGTGGTTTTGATCCGCACGCAGAGCCTGGAGCATCCCACCAGCCTGGAACACCATCATATGAGCACTGATGGCAGTATGGCCTGTAAACTGTGGCCATTTAAAAAACTTTGGTGCAGGCCAGACATGGCGACACATGCTTCTAGTCGCAGCGCTTGGGAAGCAGGGAAGGGTGGCTCTCTGGAAGCCAGCCTGGTCTACAGAGCAAGTTCTAAGACAGTCAGGACTACACAGAGAGACTTCATCTCAAGATAGATAGATAGATAGACAGACAGACAGACAGACAGTGAGATAGACAGACAGACAGACAGACAGTGAGATAGACAGACAGATAGATAGATAGATAGATAGATAGATAGATAGATAGATAGATAGAT